GCCGACACCACCTCTCCACATCGTCCGCGCTATCCTCATTGTCTCAACGGAATCTGGCCACCAGCCTCTTCCTTTCCTCATTCCCTTCCTTCATCAAGTATTTTGGAAACCCCTCCGGTATTATGTCTCCATCTTTCATTGCATCTTCCCTCTCTTATCTCCGTCCTTCTCTCCTGTCTCTGGAATCCCTGTCGCTTACGTCACATTTAACCACCCCTTCCCTTCTTCTGTTATTTATCTCTGCTTCCGAATAACCCGTCCTTTTGTAATATTCCCTTCTCTCTCTTTTACCATATCTAATCTTCTAACAATTTCCAACACTCCCCCAGGATCCCGCAGTATTGTCTTCTATCTATCATTTCTTCATATTTAACTACTCTTCTGCCCGTGTCCACCCTTATTAAATCCACCTTCACTTCCTCCTTCACAATATTCCCCGGTGTTTCCCTCGTCAGACTCAGAACCCACCTCTAGTACCTAAGAAGTTGTAAACAAGCTTCGAATCTCGACATCTTCCAGCAGGCGAAGATACTTCCTCTTCTCGCCATGACACATTCTCGAAAGTATGTTATTTTATTTATTATTTTTATTTATTTATACATGAAGGTAGCGACAGGACAAGTATCATCTGGGTACAAAACAAAGTATGGCACTTCGAATAACACATCTAAAATTGTTTGGCTCTTTTCATCCGCACGATTGGAGAATTCTTCTAAGTACATACTAGTTCGAGCTGTTGGTGCGTAAAATAAAAAATCATATCATAACCGACGAGTGGGAACATGCAAGTTCAATTCTTCATTCTAAAGAAACATATAGTTTGGTTTATTGAATTTCAAATACACTGAATGCTACTTTTGATTTCGAATAATTTTCTGTTAAATTATTGTGTTCACTTGGATGTTAAGAGATGATAATTAAGACGTATACATATATACTTTCTTAACTTTCTCAACTAGTCAAGTTATAAACGTTATGTGTAAAGGGTCATGTATTTGATCTTTTTACGCATATGGTATATGTGGTGCGAATACTAGTACTGAAAATGTAAGAGGTGTTTTACTTCCACCATGTTCATTGATTCAAAAGCGTATTATATTTAATTAATTATTACAAACCAAACAATTTAGAAATAATCTTTTAATTAGCCAAGTTATGAATAATTAATATTAATTTTTAGATCAAACTGCATGAACGTGGTTATAACCTGTTACATATCGAATGACAGATGTAGGAAATATACTTTTAATGATAAAAAATACTTCAAAAACAGTTTATATTCGAAATTATTATAATAAATAATTCGTATTTGTACTAAATTTTTTCAATTAACATTAATTGTACTCAAATAAAGTGTAGAATTTGTGACATCCTCCTCCATCTGATAACAATTGGCGAGGAGAGAATCGATTAACGATACTCTCACCTTGTCCAACCCATTTTACACCAATGCAACACCCGGGGCCCAACTAGGTGAGAACATGCTGATGTAGAAGATCTAGGTTGAGAGATATACGATATCACCCAAACTATTTACCAACCTTGGCACAGGAGGCCATCTTTAACAAACTATCATGGTAGAAGAAGGGCATCAATATCGAAGGGTACCTACCTAAATCACTTGAGATTCGCGGACGACATCATACTGATAACCAGCGATACAGAGGAATTAAGGGATATACTGGAACAGCTCAATAAAGTATCAGCAGATGTGAGTCTAAGGATGAATCTTCAAAAGACAAAGATTTTATGTCTGGACGTTCCCCAGTTTTCGATCGAAAATCATATTATAATAGATGTTATAGAACGCTACGTCTACCTTGGTCACGATATCAAGTTTAAAAACCCAGCTATGTCTATTAATGATGGATCAAAAACGCCTGAAGGGGTAGGAGCAGGAGTATACTGCCAGACACCTCGAATTAAGCAAGCCTACAGCCTGGGTACGTACTGTACTGTATTCCAGGCGAAAGTATTTGCTATTGACATGGGTGCTAAAATCCTTCTTGAAAGAGGGGCGAAGAACATGACAGTACGAGTTTTCTCAGACAGTCAAGCCGCTCTCCAGGCGCTGCAAGCCGTGAAAACGGTGTCGGCTCTGGTTAATGATTGTAAGAGAACATTAAACACACTGAGTTGTGATAACAGAGTCTCTCTGATCTGGGTCCCGGGTCACTCTGGNTCTCGAAAGTATGTTATTTTATTTATTATTTTTATTTATTTATACATGGACGTAGCGACAGGACAAGTACCATCTGGGTACAAAACAAAGTATGGCACTTCGAATAACACATCTAAAATTGTTTGGCTCTTTTCATCCGCACGATTGGAGAATTCTTCTAAGTACATACTAGTTCGAGCTGTTGGTGCGTAAAATAAAAAATCATATCATAACCGACGAGTGGGAACATGCAAGTTCAATTCTTCGTTCTAAACAAACATATAGTTTGGTTTATTGAATTTCAAATACACTGAATGCTACTTTTGATTTCGAATAATTTTCTATTAAATTATTGTGTTCACTTGGATGTTAAGAGATGATAATTAAGACGTATACATATATACTTTCTTAACATTCGGGGATCGAAACAGAGTACATAACCAGAACATAATAATCATTCACTAACTAGTCAAGTTATAAACGTTATGTGTAAAGGGTCATGTAGTTGATCTTTTTATGCATATAATATATGTGGTGCGAATACTAGTATCGATATCATAGAAAATACTAGATGTTATAGAACACTACGTCTACCTTGGTCACGATATCAAGCTTAAAAACCCAGCTATGTCTATTAACCTGAAACTGAAAGTGTTAGAATCCTGCGTACTACCGGTAACAATATGAATGGTCTAGAATGGCAATGAGGAGATCCGAAGGCGCATTAATAAGATTACAGATATAGCAGATTTGGCGATGGGAAAAACAAGTCACAAGAGAAGACAGCATTAAATAGCCGAAAGAGATAATCTCTGGGTGGCTCATCATGAAGATTGGGGGGAGAAACTGGCTACAAATGGCGTTAAACAGAGAGACAAGAAAACAGATGGAAGAGGGAATACATCTGGGAATGGATAGAAACGGGCTTAGAAAGAAAGAATAACTTGATTAGAAATGCATCACGATACAAATTTTAGTCAAGGAATCTGTAAAATTTGTCAGATATTGCAGAAAAGTTGAAAATGTGTTGATTTTATGGTGAGGATCAAACTCAAAAAAGAGCCACTCTGGACTCATCAGCGACAAAGCTATACGACAATTTTATGAAAAGTGAACCCTTTTCATCAAATATTAAGCGAAAATTATTTGTCGGAAGTAAGGGTTAGTACAACGATCATGAGGCAGCTAAGTTTTATCCAGAATCCCTAAAGAGGTCAATTCAAGATATTAGTTATATCACGCAGCAAGTATTCAATGCAGAAGGCATTTTTTGGAAAAAAAATCCGTTCCTTGTTTTAAGGTGGCTAAAGACCGTCTTACTTTTCTGTTTCGTTCAAATGCTTCGGAGGATTATCACCTAATCATTATTGGCTATAAATCATTAAATCCCAAAACTCTAAAAAATAGAGATAAAAAGAAATTACCTGTGTTTCGTAGGTCTAACAGTCGAGCTTGAATAACGGGAGATATTTTGTAGATTGGTTACAAAATTGTTTTGTACCAGCAGTAACGTTTTGTTGTTGCTAGACAATGCTTCAGGTCAGGTTAACCGATTATAAAGCTTAAATGAAAACGTGGAGGTTAAATTTTTGCCTTCTAACACAACTTCTCTTCTTCAGCCTTTAGACCAAGGTATTATAGCTACATCCAAGGCATGGGACAGTAATACTGGAAAAAATTCACATTGAATGGTGCCATATAATAATCAGAGAAGGATGATGACATTTAACTGTCAGATATTGAAAAGCTACTTGAGGCAGATGATTCTGAACTGACAGAAAAAGAGCTGGCCGATTTAGTAACTGATGATAATAATGAATTAAGTGACAGTGATGAAAATAACGAAAACACCTTTCCAGCTATGTTAACTCTCAAAACAGTTCATAAATGTTTAGAAATGGGAGAAAGACAAGACATTGTAAAGCTAACAATAAAAAAGGTTCTGGTAATATGGATCAAAAACGAATACCACTTGACGGAAATAGTATCAAGCAGATGGCATTAAGAATCTACGACCGAATCTGTAAAATTTGTCAGATATTGCAGAAAAGTTGAAAATGTGTTGATTTTATGGTGAGGATCAAACTCAAAAAAGAGCCACTCTGGACTCATCAGCGACAAAGCTATACGACAATTTTATGAAAAGTGAACCCTTTTCATCAAATATTAAGCGAAAATTATTTGTCGGAAGTAAGGGTTAGTACAACGATCATGAGGCAGCTAAGTTTTATCCAGAATCCCTAAAGAGGTCAATTCAAGATATTAGTTATATCACGCAGCAAGTATTCAATGCAGAAGGCATTTTTTGGAAAAAAAATCCGTTCCTTGTTTTAAGGTGGCTAAAGACCGTCTTACTTTTCTGTTTCGTTCAAATGCTTCGGAGGATTATCACCTAATCATTATTGGCTATAAATCATTAAATCCCAAAACTCTAAAAAATAGAGATAAAAAGAAATTACCTGTGTTTCGTAGGTCTAACAGTCGAGCTTGAATAACGGGAGATATTTTGTAGATTGGTTACAAAATTGTTTTGTACCAGCAGTAACGTTTTGTTGTTGCTAGACAATGCTTCAGGTCAGGTTAACCGATTATAAAGCTTAAATGAAAACGTGGAGGTTAAATTTTTGCCTTCTAACACAACTTCTCTTCTTCAGCCTTTAGACCAAGGTATTATAGCTACATCCAAGGCATGGGACAGTAATACTGGAAAAAATTCACATTGAATGGTGCCATATAATAATCAGAGAAGGATGATGATATTTAACTGTCAGATATTGAAAAGCTACTTGAGGCAGATGATTCTGAACTGACAGAAAAAGAGCTGGCCGATTTAGTAACTGATAATAATAATGAATTAAGTGACAGTGATGAAAATAACGAAAACACCTTTCCAGCTATGTTAACTCTCAAAACAGTTCATAAATGTTTAGAAATGGGAGAAAGACAAGACATTGTAAAGCTAAAAATAAAAAAGGTTCTGGTAATATGGATCAAAAACGAATACCACTTGACGGAAATAGTATCAAGCAGATGGCATTAAGAATCTACGACCAGATTAAAGAAATTGAGCCACAAACGTCAGCCCAGAAAAGAACTAAATTTGAATTTTCTGTAAGTACAGGATGGATATATAAACATTAAGGGTGAAATTGGTTCTGCAGATGATCTGCCAGCTGAAGAATTTCCTGCAAAATTAGCTGAAGCAGATCTTTTCTGGAAACGTTTATTAAAAAATAAATAAATTATTGGCTTTTTATTTTAACATAACCAAATAAAACATTATAAAAACTATATACAATATAAATAAAAATTACACCTTAGTAAAAACTGATGGAAATTCTTGATTACCAATCCAAAAATATTCTTGACGATTCCGCTGAAGATAGATATCATAATAAAGCAACACCGACCTCGCATCTTTATCATTTCTTTCAATAAATTTCTCAATAACTTTAATAACAGGAACCCATTTAAAATGTTTATTTAACTCCAACGGAAACACGTAAAGAGGTAAAAACAATATAGCAAATATACAATTGATTTTATCTGTGTTGTTTTCAAGCAATTTATTAACCATTCCATGTCCAATTTCTTTTTCTAAACGCCGTATACTAAATAAATATTCGACGCTACCTGCTAATTTCTGAATAACCCCTAAACCGTATTCATCAACGTAAAAATGTAAAAGTTTATCCAAAGGGGTTGCAAATTTTTCTAAATCGAAATTGCTTTCAAAATACGCCTCGGTGAGTTTAAGAATCATTTCGGATTCAATTAAACAATATTTTGGGAAAAAATTCCATTGGAAAATTAAAGTTTTAATAAGCTCTTCTCGCCTATCTTTATCTTCGTCCGTAATTTCTTCGATTTTAGTCAAAATGTGATTACAAAATGTTGTTACCAAGGTAGTAAGCGGCTCCCTATGTTTTGAATAACCGCAAATTGGAGGTTGAAGAATCGTTTTTATGTGTTCCAAAGTAAAACAAAGTAATTGATTCGATTTTTTCGGGTTTATATTCGAAATTAATCCCCACAAAGTGTGCCATTCTTGCGATTTTAACAATAAATCGTTTAAAACGATTTCAATGATTTCTTCCAAAAAACGGTAAGATTCATCGATCTTAATATTTTTTGCAAATTCAACAACCTTTTTTTCGATTCCTTTTCGTTTCGATTTTTTTAAGGCACCATAAACGCTTTGTACATAATCTTTAGTAAATTGAGACGGAATTTTTTTAATCATTTTTATCATAAAATCTAAAATTAAGGAGTCATTTTCGTTGATTGTGTTAAAATATTGTTTTACTTTCCCCCAATTATTTTGTGTGGGGGTTTCGATGAATAAATGAATTGATTTCATAAAAATTACGTTTTTAATCGAAGGATTTTTCTCGACATAATCGATAAAATTCCACGCGTCTTTTATTGGAAGTAAATGTCTTGCTAAAAATAAGGGGTGTTTTTTTAAAGAAATTGGGGAATCTTTTAGATCGTTTAAGAAATAAAAAATATCGTTTTGTTTCGTGTTATAAGTTGTTTTATATAAAGGAGTTAACCCGAATTTTAAGTAATCTCCAACACAAACTTTTTTGATTAACTCGAATTTGTTGTCCAAATCTAAATCGGATAAGGAATAAATAATGTTTTCTTGTACTTCTTTTTTATTCGCGATTTCGTCGAGTAATTTATTTGGCATAAACGGTGCGGTTATTTCCAAAAATTCTTTTGAATCGATTTGGGAAAGAATCCTAACGAGGTAATTGGTGCTTTTGAAATCATCGTACGATAAATTCGATTTAATATAAATCAGCATTTTCTCCTTTAAAGTTGGAGTTAAGTATTTTTTGAATCCACGAAGAAAATGTTTGTTTATTTTATTCGGTTGTTGCGATAAAACGACTTCTATGTTATCCTCGACTTGTTTAACGTCCCTCTTTAAAAACCACGTTATCATGTAAGAAACTTTATCGTTGTATTCCCTCCAAAAAAGTTTCTCTAAATTATTATTTCGAAAATTTTTTATATGATAAGCTACGCATAAAGCAATATCGTAAAAATTGTTTTTAACATCATCAAAAACTTCGTTTAATAAATGTTCGTATTTTTGAAATGGGATTTTAGCTTTATTATGTAAATTGTGTTGAAATAAATGTCTCAAAACCTGTTGTGCTACTTTTAAATGAAACTTTTTGTTACCTTTAAGTTTGTCTAATAATATTATCGATTTTTCTAAAACCTCAATCGTTTTGAAATCATTTTCGAATAAATCGAAATAAAAATCGTCGGATGCAGATAATTTGAAATATTCTAATAAATAATCGTCGTAATTCCTCTTATTTTTAACCAAATACGTCAAAATGATCGTAAGTATTTTTCTTCTATACCAAATTGTGGAAGAATCAGATTTAATATATCCAAATAATTTATATACAGCTTTTATTTCCTCCTCATTTAATTCCTTAACAAAATTCGCATCGCAAATTCTTGTTACAAACGAGGTTATTGATATAGTATCATTTCTGTATCGCTCATAAACAAATTGCATTATTTCTAATCTAACATTTTCATCATCACTTAGTTCTAAAACCTTAACTAATTCTATAATTAATTTATTACGTTCTTCACATGAAGAAGAATTCTGTAATAATTGCTTAATTAAAGGAATCGATTCGTTAGGATGTAATAAATAAATATAATCATCTGATGTTTCGCCCAATTTTTTAGCAATAACTATCCGGAATTTAATTGGAACGATTTTAAAAAAATCGTGAGTCATTGACGCCTCATAATCCAAAATATTTTTAGAATACTTTTTCTCAAATAAATTTTTGATGATTTCAAACTTTTTTTCGGCACTCAAAAAGTTTAAAATGCTATAAATCAATGAATATTGACACGTAATTACTTCCAAGAATTCTAAAGGGGCTTCTGGATAAAAGCTTAACACAAAATCGTCTAATTTATCATGCTTAATAATCGTTTTGTATAAAGTGTTGTTGTGGAAAGTGTTTAAACATTTATTTCCATCTTTTAAATATGATTTATTTGATAAAATCAATTTTTCTGTTGTTCTTTTACCCGATTGGAAGTCGAATTTGTATTTATTTTGTAACTTCCAAAAGAAATCGACATCTTTCTTCATTATATACTTTAATATTTTTGGGTATTTCCAATTTATTTGAGTCTCATCATGTTTTTTTAAAAAATCAAAATAATGCTCCAAAAAATTGTTATCTTTTTTATAAATTTCAAATAAATGGCGAGGACTTAAATCGGGATTATATTTATCAATAATCTGTTTTATCAACTCAATTGAACATCCTGGTAAAAGCACCAAAGCTAATCTTATTCCATATTTATCTTTGATAGCAAAAAAATATTCCTCAATCAATTCCTCATTTTTAATAGTCTTTGAAATTCGATTAACAACTTTAGCTCGAATTATATAAGATGTATTTGGAAGTACATCGTTTATTAAAGTTGTTGCATCAATTTTTAAAAAGATTTCAGAAAAAAAATTAAAATTCTTTAATAATCTCCCAATATGTTCTCGATTCCCACTTTTTAAAACCTCCAATAATTCTTCATTCCTTTTAAAATTCGATAAAAGATCTATCCTAAAGATTTCTTGAAAGTTATCTTTTGGTTGTAATCCCAAAAAAAATTCATCTTGATTTTGATTGTTTAAACTCTCCTGTGCGATTTTAAGAAAGTTACGAAAATTCTTGTGTTTTTCCACAGCAGTAGCTCCAGATAATTGATGAAAATCCGATATTAAGGAGCGAATAGCAACCATTACTTTACCTTGGATAAAAAAAGATTAAATGAGTCATTGATGAAATAAACAATTTAAAAATAAGTTGTGTAATCTTGTATAACAAAATCAATTTTAGTTTAAACAATTAAAGTATTGTTTCTACTTACTTTTTAAAGCCTTAGTTTTATGTTAAAAAATTTTGCAAAAAACGTTTATAACACAAACCGTTTTAGCACATATTGAGCGATACAAAACCATTCGTTGTAACTTTATAAATAAATTTTAGTAAGAAGGGGAATTCTTTTAAATACACACCGATTACTAATCTTATCGCCAATCTAAATGAAAAGTGAGGTTATGTATTTTTAATTTTGTTATTCTACTTACCAAGCGAATTAAATTGAGTTATTTCATTCACTATACGATAAGATACTTTGTATATTCACTAAAATCAATTCATTATTAGCTAATTAAGAAAATAAATAGATTTTTAATTTTTTAACAGTAGCTGTCAATTTGACATTTAACCTCAAATTTGTCAAAATTCCACTAATTTATAAGAAAAATCATATTAATTATTATAATTAACCAAAGATTGTAATACCAAAATAATTCTTACATCTTATTTCTTCATATCAAACTAATCTAAATCCCATTTAATTGATTTAAACCAAATTAAAAAAATTCCAACAGAACTTATATTAAACTTCTTTTAATATTAAAATGTACTTTTATTAGATTAACAACGTGGTTTCTTACCAAGGTTTATATATAAGAGGTTGTCTACGTTTCTATACTTTATTAGAAGCCGATTACTAATCTCATTTCCAATCTAAATGAAAAGTGAGGTTATGTATTTTTAATTTTGTTATTCTACTTACCAAGTGAATTAAACCGATTTATTTCATCCCCTATACGATAAGATACTTCGTATATTCACTAAAATCAATTCATTATTAGCTAATTAAGAAAATAAATAGATTTTTAATTTTTTAACAGTAGCTGTCAATTTGACATTTAACCTCAAATTTGTCAAAATTCCACTAATTTATAAGAAAAATCATATTAATCATTATAATTAACCAAAGATTGTAATACCAAAGTAATTCTTACATCTTATTTCTTCATATCAACCTAATTAAATCTCATTTAATTGATTTAAACCATATTAAAAAAATTCCAACATAACTGTTATATTAAACTCCAATGCACTTTTATTAGATAAATAACGTGGTTCCTTACCAAAGTTTATATATAAGAGGTTGTCTAGGTTCCTCTACTTTATTACAAACCGATTACTAATCTCATCTCCAATCTAAATAAAAATTGAGGTTATGTATTTTTAATTTTGTTACTCCACTTACCAAGCAATTTAAACCGAGTTATTTCATTCACTATACGATAAGATACTTCGTATATTCTCTAAAATTAATTCATTATTAACTTATTTTTATAATCAAGAAAATAAATCGATTTTTAACAGGAGCTGTCAACTTGACATTTAACCTCACATTTGTCAACATTCCACTAATTTATAAGAAAAATCATATTAATTATTATAATTAACCAAAAATTGGAATACCAAGGTAATTCTTACATCTTATTTCTTCATATCCACCAAATCTTAATCTCATTTATTGATTTAATCCAGATTAAAAAAGAATCCAACATAACCTCAAATTTTGCTTCTGTCAAAACAATAAATTAAATATGGTAAGTGAAAACTTTGGTTTACCTGAACCACCGCATCCTGAAGAACCCGTAACGACGAATAACGATGTAGTAATGCCGAATGAAAGTGAATCTGACGATGAAACTAATGAATATAACGGATATGAGCCGTTATCGACTCATCCTGATAACGATTTGGATGAAGACGATGAGGAAATTGAGCAAGATGAAGGTGCGGCTGGTGGTGATTTTGAATCTATAATACGAGCTGAAGATGTTTTGGTGGGTGAAGTGTGGTCTTGTAAAGAAAACGTTGTCGATATTGTTATGGATAAAGAAAAGGAAGATTTGGTTAAGGAAGTTATGTTAAATTTTACTTTACCCGCATCCTCAATACCCGATTGGGCTGTTAATGTGCCCGAAGAGCAATGGAAGGAGCATTTAATGAAACGGTTGGAGACTTTAAAAAAGGAATGAATTAAATGAACTAATTAATTTAGAGATTGCATAAATATTAATTAATTTTTTTTTATTAGAATTTTTTATATTATTAATTTTATTATATGTCTATACACTATACAGAGTATTATATAAAACTAAAAATAAAGTAATAAAAAAGTGTATATAAATACATTATTATAATTATTATTATTACATATTATAATTACAGCAGAGTTTGTTTCTTTATGTACAAAAATTGGCGATTTTAACAACTAGAAATCTAAAAATATACATATATTAGGGAGTGGTTTATTCTATGTACAAGTGGAATAACACACATTCTTAAATAAGATACAATTTTATATATATAGAAAAAAATTACATAAAGATTAGAAAATATTGTTTTAGAAACGATTTTGAATCGATTCCAAAACAATTTTCACAAAAAATATTACAATCACATCAAAGTTGTAGCGAGTTTACTAATATGTTTTGTTATGAATACTTTTATGGATGCTTTTTTTAATACCCGCTTAAGAACTCTTCATTCTAATAATCAGAATTTGTAAAAAGAATTGGATCATTAACTTGGGTACTATTTTTTGTTTTAATACTCCATAAAACCCAAGATAAAACCCACAATTGAATATAGAATAATTGTTAAAAAAACATTTTTTTTAAACAATAATCACAACCATACAATTTTTTAAAACCTTTATACGACTTTGAAAAAGGGTAGTGCAATAATTTACCCTGTCTTATTTTAATTAAGTTTTAATATTTAATTTCTATGTAAGTATTTTTAAATTGGCGTTTTTCTCTCTTTTTTTTTATAATAGACAAGTCATACAAGTTGAAATCTACCTAAATTTAACGAGTAACAATTCCAATTACAACTTCAAAAAAAAGTATAAAATAATATCACCTCGTTTCAAAAACAAAATCAATAAATAAACTCATAAACCTTTGTTGAAGTCATTAACCTTTCGCTAAGATCCACCTTTGAGAATTTAAATTAGTATTGCACTTTTCCGCGGTTATTCCCCTAACTTCATTAAATTTACTGTCCAGACATAAAGGTAAACGAACGTGTTTTAATAATCCTCCCGGCTCGACTAATCGCCATTTTTGAGGGTCGCTTCCATCGCATATCCTCATAATAATTTGGGAACCTTTTGAGTATTTATCCAGGGTTAGACACAAATCGTGATGTTTGATTAAACCGGTACTGGTCAAACCCCATTCTTGATTACCTCCCGTGTGGTGGCACTGATATAAAGCGACCGTTCCATCTAAAAGGTGTCCCATTGTATCCATACAGAAAATTCCTTGTCTTAATTCACCATAACTTGCAGTTGTCGTTCTGGGTATAGTTAACTCTGGGTAAACGTGTTGCAAATACCAATTGAATGATTTACATTTTAATGATTCTCGTAAAGCTAATCGATCTTGAATACTAAAAAAAAATAGAAATATTATTTAACACGACGGAAATTGAATTTTTTTGAGAACAAAAAATTCAAATCTCGTTTGAAAAATCAATGTTTGCAGTAGAAGTTCCGTGTGTTAGTTTATAGAAACGTGCGGAGGAGAATTTTGAGGGAGGGAGGGAACGAATGGGCATATTGACGTATGAATTATGAAAATGCACAGCGGACCGTATCCTTCGCAATTCCCTCCGGTTATGGGATTGAAATCCTGTCGACAATAAACGTTGGACGACCGTTTTGAAATGTGCCAACGTCGGCGACGAGATACACGTACGCGCCTCGGGCGATAATTGATCGCTTACTGTTGGAGATTTAGAGCGTGGACAGAGCAAAATTGAAAAATCTGTTGGAAAGGAATTGTTTTGCTTTTTCGTGGAAGAATAATCATTAATTATAACGGTTTAGCTAGAATTAACCCGGCACCTCCACCAAAATTTAACTGGAGAGATACATCTTATATTAAGTTTGTATGAAAATGATTTCAAGTTTTTACTTCGCCACGTAAAGTATCACTTTGTGATGATACCTCAAAACTTTATGCAAATCTACCATGTAGTGTACAAGTCATACAACAAATTTTTTTGCCACAGCTAATTGTGTCTTTGAATTATCGTGTTAAGAGCCCACTTTACCAGGTCGGTCAGTTTTTGAGGGGCGCAGACGACGGACGTTCGGAAGCAACGAGGCGGAGTTTATTTTCTACTAGGCCCGACCCTTTATAGATAAAAAAAACATCGTGTTTATTTTAGTACGATTCTTTTTTTCGTCGATGTTGTTAATAAAGAAATTAAACGACTTCTTCTAAATATTATTGTTTATTAACAATTTTTCTTAATTACGAATTACAATCAATCTTTTTATTGACTTTCCAATTTATTTATTATTTTAGTTATTTAGCCCACTTTTTTACTACGTTTGTTTTTTTTAAGTATTTTGGTTCACAACAATTTACATTACGCAAATATCAGTTTTTAATGCTTTTTTTCGATATGAATAGAATATTAATTTTTTAATAGAGAAATTAGAGAAAGAAGTTCAGAACATCTAAAATTGTGGGTTTATAATTCAATTAAATGTAAGGCAAAAATCAATTTCAAATGCAATAAATAATTTTGCGAGCATAAAACATTTATATCATTTTGAAACGAAAATAACATTTATAACTTCATTTTATATTAAAATAGATATATTTGCAATACAGGGAATGTGAAAAGTTCGGTACAACATTTATAAATTATATCTTTGTTGTATTATTATGCGTTCGTTTGATATACAGGTGTCCCAGAGTAATCGTGTAAGTAATTTTATTTGAAAACACAAGTAGTTACAAAAATTAAAGAAAAAATTTAATAGTTGAATAATTGTGGTTTCTTGGCTGTGCAAAGCATATCCATTTTATGAATATTATTACTTTTCATTCTAACTTTTTGAATATTTCCGTCTAAAAAAATGGACTGCATGGATGGTCTGCATCATCCTTGTATAAGTAAATGAAATAATATGTAATACCTAATTAATAATAATATTAAATAATGATTCAAGTATATTAAATATGGCTAATAGTGTAATAAATAAAACAGCACTGAATAGAAAAATCTTTAGGAAATTTTAATTTGCCATCGTTGAATAGATGTAAGCTCTTGAAATTCGCTGGACACTTCACCTCGACAATGGCATTTTCGTTTTTTATTGTTTCATTTGGACTTGCAACTAAGAATCCATACATCCTACGGATGAATAGAGCTCAAGAGTTTGTTGACAAGTTATATTTACTTTCAGATTTTTTTACTGCAAGCCATTCATAGTCTTGACCATGTTTAGTGTTATTGTTTTTAGCAAATTTCGAGTACAAGATTGATTTAACTTTATTTAAGCAAGACGTGTCATTTCTCATCCTACATACATCACCAAATCTCGATGCAGTTAGGCACAGATTCCTTTCTTGGGTCCATTTCTGATTGGTACTTTAGCTTCTGGTAAGAATTTGTATTTTATTTCTGTTAATGCATCCATCTTGCAAGTTTCCAATAAATTCTTCTTTCTTTTATATTCTTCGTGTGAAATGTCACTCATAAATTATAACCGAATTGCTATCATTACCCTGATCGGCTTTCGCTACCTACCTGAATTACCCCGTATACACGAGTATTTTTTTTTATGTATACAATTATTTTATAGCAGTACCACTCCGGATGATGCATCGTAATTGACGTTCGAGCGTTTAGCGTTTACAGTCTTTATTCAGTTTTTATTTACTTCTTCTGAAGCTGTAACTAAATTAATTCTTCTTTACCTGCGTTCTTCATAGACTGCTATGCCATGTCACTTACGGTTTCTCGATATTTTTGGAATGGTTTTGTTAACATAAATGGTATATCCACACATAACAATAATTCTTCAGCCTGTGTATATCCGGTACCGACAGATAACAGAAACAACAGCAGAGTTTATCTCAATAGACTCTTTGCTTTCTTCAGTGTAAAGCTTCTTTTTTATCCCGCACATAAAACATAAAAGAAATGAGCTGCTAAGCCCTTCTTTTGACTCATTAATAAATTTAATGTGAGTTTTGTTGCAGTTGAATGGATTATTCTCCACCATCAGTATTTGGTTCTGCATCATTTGTATTATTTATCTTATGGTATCGCTTCAAATAATGTATCGTTTTAATTTTTACTGTGATGGTTTATTCTTTTTAAATAAGTCCTTTTTATGTGTGCCACAGTTTATACAATAAAATTAATAAAATTTAACTTACCTTTCGGAATGAATACATTTTTCAATTAAATCTCGGACTATAAAATATGAAATTTTAGATTTTATAAAAATTTATATCGTAAATTATTACCGTCTATTACTCCTTTTTCGAGAACATCTTCAAATGCTAAGGGGTAGTTTTTTAGATGAACATACTTACCCATTGTTTATAAAAACTTTACACAAACTAAATTAAACTAACACTATAGTACACAATAAAATAACAACTATTGACTATAAATTCAAAAATTTTGTTAAATTACACAATCATTAGTAGAAAATCACGGAAAATAAAGTTCAAAACGTACTTTTGGAAATGATTATTTTCTCTACCACATTAAAAAGTAATAGATAAAACAAGGAGCTTCGATGAAGAGAGTCGATGTCAGCGCCGCTCAGTCGGCAGGAGGCGGGACTAACGCGGTGGTAATACTTCGTGGGAATCTTGACGGAAAATATTCATTTTTACGCTACCTTTTTGCAATTTTAGCAAATTACAAACTATTCCTTTATAACTAAAAATTTTGAAAAAATTTATTTGAAAAATATTACTATTTTCAAGTATACTATCATGCAAGCTAAAAAAGAACGACCAAATTGTATAATATTGAGGAAAAAAACCCCTTTTTTTGGAAAATTTTAAAAATTTTCACCATGCGTTATGTAGAATTGTTAGAAGAAGGTATGTACAAAATTTCATCCAAATATTTTCATAAATAATGTATGTTTTTTGTAATTTACCGAGCTGTATGGTAAAGTAGCCTCTTAAGTAAACATACATACAGTTGCTCACAAAATTGAGTATACAGCGGAATGAGATAATTGTGAAAATTTCAAATAATTATTAATTTATTTTAAAGTTTGTGATATACAGGGTGATTCACATAAGAACCGACACAGGAACATGTAGAGGACAACAAATTAAGATGATTTAACGCAACTTATCTCTATACTAAGTTGTACCCCTGAGGAGTTACAGGCCTTCAAAGTTGGGTCTTAAATTTTTAAAACATTGAATATCTTCGTAATACATTAAGCTAGAAAAACCAAATTTGGTATACGTTATGAGTGTACCGAGGGTATTAATTGGTAGCAAGATGAGACCAATAGAGGCATTTCAAAGGGTTGATTAAGGGTGATGGTCCCCTAAATATTGACAGATTTTTTTAACCTTTTGGTGGATTTCATACATTATTACCTCATTTCATTGGGAATTTAATTCTAAAACTTTTTTTACTCCTATTATTTTTTAAAAAACATTGTCGTTTTCATAAAAATCTGAAATAACTAAAGACACGTATTTCGTTAATGCTACTTAAAATCTTCGAAAATTCTGTAGTCGACTGTGAAATTGTATGTCAAACTTGACAAATAGGTTATAAAACCTTGTCGTCAAATAACTTTATAACCTATTTGTCAAGTTTGACATACAATTTCATAGCTGACTACTGAATTTTCGCTTATTTTAAGTAACATTACGAAATATGTGTCTTTGGTTATTTAAGTTTTTAATGAAAACGACAAAGTTTTTTAAAAAATAATAAGAGTAAGAAAAGTTTTAGAATTAAATTCCCCATGAAATGAAGTAGCAATGTATTAAATTTGCCAAAAGGATAAAAAAATCTGTCAAAATTCACCCTTAATCAACCCTTTGATATGCCTCAATTGAGTGACATTTGCTACCAATTAATATTCTTGGTACACTCATAACGAATACCAAATTTGGTTTCTCTAGCTTAATGTATTACGAAGATATTAAACTTTTTAAAAACTTAAGAGCCAACTTTGAAGAGCTATAACTCCTCAGGTGTACAACTTAGTATATAGGTAAGTTACGTTAAATCATTTTAATTTACATGTCCCTGCTCTGTGTCGGTTCTTATGTGAATCACCCTGTATATGTATTAACAACAGTTTTCCAAATAAAATAATAACAATATTAACAATAATAAAAAATTACACGAAATTCACGCCACAAAATTGAGTGTACAGTTAAGGCAAAGTGAATAAGTTTAGCTTAGTATTATGTTTTAATAAGCTGTAAGCCCTCCATTGGCGTCAATTGTCACCTGCATTCGCCATGGCATTGAGTCCACTAATTTTTTGGTTTAGTTTAGTGATATTCTATCCCAAATTTTACAAATTTCATTTCTCAATTCGTTTTTGTTTCGACACTTGCTATTTTTTAACTGAAACCTAACTTTTCTCC